TCCTCTCCCTGATTTTTTAAAGGGTGCTAGACCAGAATACCTTTAATTATGATGCACCTTCCAGGTTTTCTGGCGGAGAAGGCAATGGCAACCCACTCCAGTACTCTTGCCTGGAAAATCCCATGGATGGAGGAGCCTGGTGGGCTGCAGTCCATGGGGTCACTAAGAGTTGGACACGACTGAGCGACCTCACTTTCACTTTTCACTTTCATGCATTGGAGAAGGAAATGGCAACCCACTCCAGTGTTCTTGCCTGGAGAATCCCAGGGACGGGGAAGCCTTGTGGACTGCCATCTATGGGGCTGCACAGAGTTGGACACGACTGAACTGACTTAGCAGCAGCAGCAGTAGGTTTTCTGGAACCCTTGCTTGAGTTTTTTGTTTGCTTCCTAAAATCATATCCGTTCTCCAAGATGACTGATTTGCTGTGAAAAGAAGCTACATCCGTGATTATTAAAGACATGGAAGTTATCAACCAGGACCACCTAGGTTTATCCAAATGTAGCGTAAAATAGTACAAGGGTAGGTATTAAATGAATATAAAAAGGAAAGTTCTGGAAAGAGAAGACACACACAGAAGACAGAGCTGTAAAAATCATGGCCAAAAGATATGAATGACTGATATACCTAAAGACAGAAATTATGTATCTATAAGGTTAATCCCAACAGATTACTCAAGTAGTGTTCAAAGGAGAGAGCGAAAGGGTTCACTTCGAAAGGGCAGAGAATAATAACAATTATAGCACTTTTTGCATGGTGAATGAAACATGCCAGCAAAAGTAAATAACAATTGTAAGCCTCAAATGTCAGAGATGTGGAGAAAGAGGCACATTTACAGATTTCTAGTTGTATTGTGTATCTGTTCCTTTTTTTTTTGAGAACAAGTTGGCAAAATCACAATAAAAATACCCTAAGGAAGTCAAAAGGAAAAAAAATTCTTTTCTTGAAAAAGGAGGTCCCAGTGGCACTGTATCTAACAGTGAAAGGCTTGAAACAACACAGATACTTAACCAGAGAGGCTTGGGCAAAGCAAACTCAGATATTTGCAACAGGATGCCAGCAATGGTGAGTCGGGAAAGCAGATCAAACTGGTCTGTGCCTGCTGCTTGTAAGTGTGGACCAACAGGTAGGTGCAGGATATTAATATCCATTCGGCTCTTGATAATTGTTTTTAAAAGTGAAAGCTTTGTTTGCTTAGGGCACGTTCTAAAGAGGAGTGGGCAAATGTTTTGAGCATAGACAGCAAGGATTCCTTTGGAGGGACTCCGGGTGGTAAAGAATCCGCCTGCCAGTGCAGAAGGCATAAGAGACGCGGGTTCAATCCTTGGGTCAGGAAGATCTCCTGGAGGAGGCCATGGCAACCCACTCCAGTATTCTTGCCTGGAGAATCCCACGGACAGAGGAGCATGGTGGGCTACAGTCCCTACTATAGGGTCGCAAAGAGTCGGACGCAACTGAAGCAACTTAGCACACACGTACTTCATTTGATGTGAAACTGGGGTGCTTGCTGATAGGTGAATGACCACATCAGGTTTTGCTCACATTTTGCACTCGTGTGTATGTGTGTGTAGACACCAGAAGGTTGCCTGAAGCAGGGGAGCTGGGCCCGGGCAGGCCCCAGTGAAAAGTGGAATTTGCTTAATTACTCCTAACTTGTCAGCCCCATAGGGTTTCCCGATACCCAGTGCGATACTGAGGATAAAAAGGCTCGTGGTCATAGTTACGGGGTTTTTCTTTCTTTTTTAACCTCTTCTCCTTGCATTAGGCTCAAACTTACCTAACCTTCTGGGGTTCGTATCTCTGCCCACTTCAGGTCCACTTTCCATACCATTGTTTCCATCTCAGAATTCTTCGAAGCCCAGGATGCAGTAAGGTTGAGGCAGGTAGAGGTGGATTTAGCAGCCGTGTGGACACACCCTGGGCACTTGATTGGTGCCTGTATCTTCTTCTGGTTCCTTCAGTCAGCCATCACTGTGAGCCAAGTGCATGAAGAGGGAGCTGGGGGCGCACCCACCCCAGCTCCAAGACCTCACAGCCCATCGGGGAGGGGGAACAGAGAGGGGAACGACTTTCTTCAGTGACCTGCAAACATACTACGGAGCAGGGAGGTCAGCCCACAGCAGAACAGAAAGGCCGATGCCACCTGTGTAGCTACAGGGGCTTAGAGCGCAGACCCCCACCTGGGGCCCACAAGCTGAGTGAAGGCGGAGTCGGAAGGGGAGCTCAGCACCTTCCCTTCTAAAGGCTGCTGTGGGCATAGCTTCTGGCTGCTTTGCAGAAAGTGGGCCCAGGCTTCCCAGATCTTCACATTAAAAGTCTGGAATCCCCGTTCTTATGTGAAGTAGATTTTTAAAAAACAGATTGCACACCAAACCCACTTTGCCCGATGAACCTGGCCCACGGGCTTCCAATGAAGACTTCAGTTGAGGGTGGCGTAGAGGGGAGGCGGCACCTGCAGCTGGGGGCAGGACCAGGCTGCAGCCGGAGCAGCTGGCTGTGTTGGGCTCACCAGTCCCGGAGCCCAAACCAGATGCTCCTTGTCCTCACCTCTCCCCTTCCTCCCTGGTCCCCCACTCTCATCTCTGGTCCTTCCCCGCATCACCATCAGGCCACTAGATGGCGCCACAAGCCCAGCATCTCACAGTGCAGAGCAAACCCGGCTCCCTAGTCCGGGAACCCCAGTTTACCTGGTAATCTTGCTACCATGGCGCACCCTGGGGACTTCTTGGCTTTTTCTTGTTTCTTCCAGTTTTTATTAAGTTAAAAAAAAAAAAAGCTTTATGGCAGGTTTCTCCTTTCCTTCAGGCCAGTGCTGCCCAATAGAAATACAATGCAAGCCATGTTTTAAATTTTCTGGTAGGCATATTATAAGGAGAAAAGGGACACAGGTGACACTAATTTTAAAAACGTTTATAACGTAACTCAATATAGCCAAAATGTTATTTCAATATGTAATCTACATACACTGTGTTAATGAGGTATTTTAAATTTTTTTGGTACTGTTGGAAATCCAGTGTGTGTTTCATATGTATAGCACATCTCAGTGTGGATGAGCCACGTTTCAGGAGCTCTATAGCCAGATTTGGCCGCTGGCTATGGAACTGGCCTGGTTGGGCTGGTCAGAGGTAGGTCCATAGGGCTTGAGTCCTCCTCACCAAGAGTGAGCTCCTAGATCGTAACATGGAATTCTGGGGAGCTGGACACTGACTTATAGTCTAGGACTCTCGGGCATCCAAACTGCCACCATCCACAGAAGGTCTCTCATTACAAAAAATTTTTTAGTCTTTTTATTTTGGGCCCTGCCTCAAAGCTCATGGGATCTTAGTTCCGCAACCAGGGATTGAACCCAGGCCCTCCGCAGTGAGAGCATGGAGTCCTAACCACTGGACTGCCAGGGAATTCCTGAAGATCTCTTATTTTAAAAGCATGTTTCTAGAAGTTCCTGGGCAGAAGGGCCCAGTTCAGTCCCCTTGCCCCATCCCTTCTTCCACTTTGTGGTCAGCTCACACTCTCTGCCCATCACACCCTCTTCCAGTTTGTCTTGGCTTTTGTTGGAAGCAGCATTTCTGAAGCCAGTGTGATACACAATCCAAAGCTACTTCTTTCTGCTAAAATGGCTCATCTTGCTGCAAACCAGTCTCCGGATGTGATGGATTGATGCCTAATTGGGATACAGTTTGAAAAGAGTCTGGGTTTCAGTTTCCTAACCTCAGATCTCAAATGAATTCCACAACCTCTGAGACCCCTGCTCACCTCTAATTTCTCACCCCCATCCCACATGACCTACGCCCTCATCCAAACCACAGACAAGCATCCAGATGCACACACAAACCCTGGTGGTTCTGGGTCACCTTATAAGACAATGTAAGCCGGGAGATCGGGGATGTGGGAAGAGATGCAGAGACTAGAGAAGGTGGCAGAAACAGAGGGAGGAGATGTGAGAGAACTAGGAGAGATGGAACAGGCAGCCAAGACCTAGGCCCTTCAAGCTGGCATCTGCCCTAAGGAGCTCCTGAAACAGAAGGATCTTTGCTGGCTCTTTAAAAGCACCTCAGAAAAGCCCTAAGGGCCATGAGATGGGGCCAGTGCTCCTCTCTAACAACCCCTCTGCCACCCCTCGGGAGCTGCCCAGACACCCATTCAGAGGGTGCAGACACAATTCTCCTCCAGGGGCCCCACACATACTCACTCTACCCCTCCCTCCAGGGCTTGGAGCCCAGCTCTGGTCTGGACATCTCTGGGGCTTGGGGGGTCAGGTTCAAGGTGGGATGCAATAGCTCCAGAGTTCAGCGTTTCACAACAGATAGTAGAAGCAGAAGCCTGCTCCAGAACAGGAGCAGAGGGCTCAGTCTCCCGGGACAGGTGAAGGCACACCCACTGGGATCCACTTTGCCTTTCTTCCCCATCCAGAGCCCCCAGTGCAGAGGAGGGGGTCCTGGGTCCGCAGTGGGAGCCAGAGGCTCGTCCAAGTCACCCTGGGCAGGGCTGGGCTGGGGCAGAGGCAGAATGCTGCCGGGAGGTTCTCTTGGGAGAAGTGAATTGAAAAGCATCTCCGAGGAGGGCAGGGAGGGAGGGAGGCTGGGTGGTGTACACACACACACACACACACACACACACACACATATACACAGCCTCCCTGACTTAGCCCGAGCCTCACTCAGGAGAGGAACAGTCTCCTCTCCGCTCTTGAAGCTTTCTGTTCCTTCCCCGCCCATCTGAGCTGTCAGCAGCACCAGCGAAGTTGGCCTCAAACTTGAATGGGGCTGAAGGCTCCAGCTTCCTGGAGCTCCACGGGGCGGCAGGCTGGCCGGAGCCTCTGAGTTCAGCTGGCCTGGAGAAGCCGACCTCCCCAGCACCCCCGGCTGACCCTGGCTCTCCTGGGTGACACGTCTGCCCCTGACCTGTAGGCCCCCAGCCCGGGCCAAGGAATGGTACACTGAGGTCCCTTGGAAGCCCCTCGTCCCATCCTGGAGCTGGAGCAGCCCAAGGCCCAGGCCAGCATGGCCAAACCCGGACAGCCTCAGTTTTCCCCGGCGCGGGATCCAGACCCTGCCTCACCCCTGGACCTGCCGGAGATGGAGAAGCTCCTTGTGCAGGTCGGAGGCCAGGATGACAAGCCCCTGAAGCCGTCCAAGTCCCTCTCGGGGCCTCTGGATCTGGAGCAGAATGGCCACAGCCTGCCCTTCAAGGTGATATCCGAGGGGCACCGGGAGGCCTTGCACCCCCTCTCGTCCTCCCGGGCCAGCTCCAGGCGGGCGTCCTCCACGGCCACCACCTCCGATGCCCAGGACGGAGAAGTTCCCAGAGATTATCTCATCCTTGCCATCGCCTCCTGTTTCTGCCCTGTCTGGCCCCTCAACCTCATGCCCCTCATCTTTTCCATCATGGTGAGTGCTGCCCTTCATCGCAGGGCGGGGGCTGGTTTTGGTCAGCAGCCATGCTTCCCCGGCAGGCACCAGTCACCCTACCTAGGGTGCTGAGAGAAGAGCTGGGGTGCTGGGGGTGGGGGAGGGGAGACTCCCCATCTTAGCCGGCCTATTACTCCCCCTTGGAGAGGGGTCCAGGGCCCCCCAGAGCTTCAGTTTCCTGTCCTCCTTCATCTCTGCTCCTGGACATCACAGTTTGACTTTTCACACATCCCTGCTGGGAAGGGGATCCCAGAGAGACGCCCGGAGCTAAATTCTGCACAGAAAAGACAGCCAACTTGGGGGTCTGGCCTTTGCCGGGATTGGGGGCTTTGTCGCAAGGAGTCATTCCTGAGTGGGGCTGTGAATCAGCAGAGATTGCAGCCAATGTGGGGTCTCAGGGCCCCGCGTTCTCAGAAGCAGAGCCAGGTAACACCTCCCCACCCCACCCCACCCCCAGGGCCTCCTGGGTGTTCTAACAGCTTCTGGCAATTCTGGTTTCCAAGAGCGAGCAGTGGCTTCCCTGCCATGGACTGCGGGCCGGGGCCCAGCTCCCCCAGGGCTGCTGCCCTGGGGGGAACTTCTTGCTGGGGCCCTCTGGGCCTCGCCTTTGTACTGATTTCAATATCTGTCTTCCCGCAGGGGCAGGAGGGGTGGTCTGGGCCACAGGTGGGAACGCATGTGTATCAGAGGGCATGGCTGGCCTGGCCAGGGAGGGCTATGGGGGCTCGTCTTTGCTTCTCCCACGCTTGTGTTGTAGAGTTTTGAGTACCTAACCTTCGATCATCTCCAATCCAAGCCGTTGGGAGCGGGCTGCTTGCAGAGGAGGAGCCCCAGGAAATGTTGGTAGCTGTTGGCAAGTGAATTCCATGGTTCAGGAAGTTGAGAGAGACAGAGAGAGAGAGGGGCTGGCAGGGAATGACTTTCAGAATGAGGTTAGGAGCAGGGGATGGTACACCGAGGGGGGAGACGCTGTCTGCCTGCCCCTGGAGGGACTCCACTGTTGAGTCATCCGTCATCCAGCCCCCGGGAGCTGTGGTCTTTCCTGCTGCCGCGCTGTCCACTAAGAAAACCCTTATTTCCTTATATGTATCTCTCCACTTCACGGATACCCAGTTTCCAGCCAAGGGCACCTTCCCCAACCCCCAGCACCACCTGCCAGGGCTTCAGGGGGAAACTGGCAGCATTCTCAGGCCCCAACGATTGGCGGGTTGGCATGGGAAGAAGAGCCAGGGCTGGAGGGCCTTTGAGAAAATCCCCAGCTGCCTGCGGCTCGGGGGCAGCTGGGGGTGGAGCCGGGCCACAGGGATTGCCGCCAGTGGCTCTGGGTAGGGACAAGCTCTTGGTTACTGGGAGAAGCCCCGGAGGGGAGACCGGCTTTGGGGAGGGAAAGCAGACAAGGGTCCAGGAGAAAACAGTTGCTAAAATCCATCTTCTGGTGGGGGTGGCAGAGTGTGAGCTGGGTAAAAGCTGCCTTTGTCAAAGGAAACCTAGGCCCACAGCTGTGGGACCGCTGAACCCACCCCTGGTGTATTTCTACATCCATCTTGGGTTCTTGAATCAGGTCTGATGGTTGCCAGGCCTGGGGCAGGGAATACGGTGCTAAACCAGACACCATCACCAATTCCCACAAGCCTCCTGTCCAGGGGGGAGAAATTTGAAAACAGATCCTGACAACACATTGCAAGAAGTGCCCACACTAGACAAAATCACAAGGTATTGTGCAACCTCAGGCAAGTCACTCAAACCTCTATTCTCCTCAGTATTCCCATCTGCAAAATGGGTGTCAACATTAATACCTAAATTATAGAGTTTTATGAGTCACACAAGGGGCTTTCCCAATGGTGCATGATAAAGAATCTGCCTCCAGTGCAGGAGACACAGATGATGCAGGTTTGATCCCTGAGTTGGGAAGATCCCCTGGAGAAGGAAATGGCAACCCACTCCAGTATTCTTGCCTGGAAAACTCCATGGACAGAGGAACCTGGTAGGCTACAGTGCATGGGTCACAAAGAGTCAGACACAACTGAGCGACTGAGTACTATCATACCATTCACTCATCTAAAGTGTACAATTCAGCAGTTTTTCGTATATTCAGATAAGTGCAACCATAACCACAATCAATTTTAAAATATGTTCCTCACTTCTGAAAGAAATCCAGCAACATTTTTCTTTTTTCTTTTTTTTTTTCATTTATTTTTATTAGTTGGAGGCTAATTACTTTACATCATTGTAGTGGTTTTTGTCATACATTGAAATGAATTAGCCATGGATTTACATGTATTCCCCATCCCAGTCCCCCCTCCCACCTCCCTCTCCACCCAATCCCTCTGGGTCTTCCCAGTGCACCAGGCCCGAGCACTTGTCTCATGCACTCAACCTGGGCTGGTGATCTGTTTCACCCTAGATAATATACGTGTTTCGATGCTGTTCTCTTGAAACATCCCACCCTCACCTTCTCCCAGAGTCCACAAGTCTGTTCTATACATAGGAGTCTCTTTTTCTGTTTTGCACATAGGGTTATCGTTACCATCTTTCTAAATTCCATATATATGTGTTAGTATACTATAATGGTCTTTATCTTTCTGGCTTACTTCGCTCTGTATAATGGGCTCCAGTTTCATCCATCTCATTAGAACTGATTCAAATGAATTGTTTTTAATGGCTGAGTAATATTCCATGGTGTATATGTACCACAGCTTCCTCATCCATTCGTCTGCTGATGGGCATCTAGGTTGCTTCCATGTCCTGGCTATTATAAACAGTGCTGCGATGAACATTGGGGTACATGTGTCTCTTTCAGATCTGGTTTCCTCAGTGTGTATGCCCAGAAGTGGGATTGCTGGGTCATATGGCAGTTCTATTTCCAGCTTTTTAAGAAATCTCCACACTGTTTTCCATAGTGGCTGTACTAATTTGCATTCCCACCAACAGTGTAAGAGGGTTCCCTTTTCTCCACACCCTCTCCAGCATTTATTGCTTGTAGACTTTTGGATAGCAGCCATCCTGACTGGTGTGTAATGGTACCTCATTGTGGTTTTGATTTGCATTTCTCTGATAATGAGTGATGTTGAGCATCTTTTCATGTGTTTGTTAGCCATCTGTATGTCTTCCTTGGAGAAATGTCTGTTCAGTTCTTTGGCCCATTTTTTGATTGGGTCATTTATTTTTCTGGAGTTGAGCTGGAGGAGTTGCTTGTATATTTTTGAGATTAATCCTTTGTCTGTTGCTTCGTTTGCTATTATTTTCTCCCAATCTGAGGGCTGTCTTTTCACCTTGCTTATAGTTTCCTTTGTTGTGCAAAAGCTTTTAAGTTTCATTAGGTCCCATTTGTTTATTTTTGCTTTTATTTCTAAAATTCTGGGATGTGGGTCATAGAGGATCCTGCTGTGATTTATGTCGGAGAGTGTTTTGCCTATGTTCTCCTCTAGGAGTTTTATAGTTTCTGGTCTTACATTTAGATCTTTAATCCATTTTGAGTTTATTTTGTGTATGGTGTTAGAAAGTGTTCTAGTTTCATTCTTTTACAGGTGGTTGACCAGTTTTCCCAGCACCACTTGTTAAAGAGGTTGTCTTTTTTCCATTGTATATCCTTGCCTCCTTTGTCAAAGATAAGGTGACCATAGGTTCGTGGATTTATCTCTGGGCTTTCTATTCTGTTCCATTGATCTATATTTCTGTCTTTGTGCCAGTACCATACTGTCTTGATGACTGTGGCTTTGTAGTATAGTCTGAAGTCAGGCAGATTGATTCCTCCAGTTCCATTCTTCTTTCTCAGGATTACTTTGGATATTCGAGGTTTTTTGTATTTCCATACAAATTGTGAAATTATTCGTTCTAGTTCTGTGAAAAATACCGTTGGTAGTTTGATAAGGATTGCATTGAATCTGTAGATTGCTTTGGGTAGTATAGCCATTTTGACAATATTGATTCTTCCAATCCATGAACACGGTATATTTCTCCATCTGTTTGTGTCCTCTTTGATTTCTTTCATCAGTGTTTTATAGTTTTCTATGTATAGGTCTTTTGTTTCTTTAGGTAGATATACTCCTAAGTATTTTATTCTTTTTGTTGCAATGGTGAATGGTATTGTTTCCTTAATTTCTCTTTCTGTTTTCTCATTGTTAGTGTATAGGAATGCAAGAGATTTCTGTGTGTTAATTTTATATCCTGCAACTTTACTGTATTCGTTGATTATCTCTAGTAATTTTCTGGTAGAGTCTTTAGGATTTTCTATGTAGAGGATCATGTCATCTGCAAACAGCGAGAGTTTCACTTCTTCTTTTCCTATCTGGATTCCTTTTACTTCTTTTTCTGCTCTGATTGCTGTGGCCAACACTTCCAAAACTATGTTGAATAGTAGTGGTGAGAGTGGGCACCCTTGTCTTGTTCCTGATTTCAGGGGAAATGCTTTCAGTTTTTCACCATTGAGGGTGATGCTCAGCAACATTTTTCTATCACTCCTTCTAATACCTGCCTGCCAGACCTGAGTAATTACTCATTTTCCTTCTGTCTCCATGGATTTGTCTCTTCTGGGCATTTCATAAGCAGACATACTTTGTTCTATTGAGCTTTATTGTTCTTCACTGATATTGCATTTTTTACAAATTGAAAGTGTGTGGCAACCCTGCCTCAAGCAAGTCTATCAGTGCTCTTTTTTGCAACAGCATTGCTTACTTTGTGTCTCGGGGTCATATTTTGTTAATTCTCAAAATATTTCAAACTTTTCATTATTATTATATTTGTCATGGTGATCTGTCATCAGTGGTCTTTAGTGTTACTATTGCAAGAAGATCACAACTCACTGAGCAATAATGATGAACATTTTTTTTTTTAAGATCTTTTTTTTCCTGATGTGGACCATTTTTAAAGTCTGGGCTTCCCCGGTGGTGCTGGTGGTAAAGAATCCACCTGCCAACACAGGAGACTCAAGAGTCATGGTTTCGATCCCTGGGTCAGGAAGATCCCCTGGAGGAGGGCAT